AATAATGGCTAAAACGGTCTTCAGTAAGATGCGCAAGTTACTGATAGCTAGAGAGATAAACAAAACATTACAAATCAGAATCATCAAATGTTATGTATACTCAGTCCTGCTGTATGGTGCAGAAATACTTTAGCCACTTTAAAAGATATAATACGCTTATTAAAAACCATACTGGAGGGAAAAAGAGAGCAGGAGGTGGACAACGATACAAATGGGGGGACAATGTCAAGAGATGGACGGGCAGCAGTCTGACTGAGTTTACAACCAAGACAAGAGACAAGGCGTGTTGCAGATCCATTTCAGCCAACTTTCACTGTGGAGACGACACCTTACTGAGGGACTGATTCCTTAATTCAGCAATATCTTAGCATGAAGTAATCAATGAACGCTCCAAAAATGACATCGCTGAACTCGGAAACTTTCCTCCCACTAGGTGTCCGAACCATTTGAGTCTCTCATGCTCTTTAGTTGATGTCCAAGTCTGACCCTGGTAACCTAATTCTTCACTTGCCTAAGGTAATATCACGTCTTAATGTAGATAATTTAGTACTATGGCATTCTTTGCTATGTGTTGTTGTAGTTTATGTACTTCATTTGCCGATGAAAGCTTGTTACTGTTACTTCCTACATTGTCTAATCGCGATCTTGTAAATCTATCTGTATTCCTTCTTTTCTGTTTATCTGCATGCCCACAACTCTACCGTTGTTTGATCGACTTGTAGAAATCTTTGCAGCAGCTGTGAAGCTATTTACCTCCAGCTCTGAAGGTTGCAGGTTCGGATTCGGATTCCATCAGTGCAGATGTTTCACCGATCTTGGATCGTGGTGGAGTTGCCGAGTTCACCTGCTGTGCGAACACAATTATAAACTATCAACCATATGGCATAACGATTAAGCTAAGAGTAATAAAAGGCATCTCAATTAAGTCGCCTCTCCGGCCTTGAAACATCTTTCAAGCCTTTAAACTGTTAGCTGAGCTGCATTTACTGTCTTTGTTGATCACTCCGTTTGGTGTAGACCCTCAGTTTGAATAATGGGAAGTGACAGAAGTAATGGGAGTATCAAAGAAAAGAATTATTCCTAAATTTATAATAGAAGTCAAAGGTGTTATTTTGGGACAAGTACAGAAATGTTGGTATCTGAGCACATGGATAACATCAGATGGAAGATGCATAACTGAGATAAGAAACAGAATAGGACAGGCAACAATTGCATTTTATAAAATAAAGAACATGTTATGCAATATATCTTTGTCATTGAGGGTTAGAAGCAAGAATTCTTGCTTGCTACATACGTCCAGTCTTAACATATGGCTGTGACCCCTGGACAATCGGTAGGCAGGCCAAACAATTTCTTGAGGCCTCATAGATGTGGTTTTACAGAAGAATGCTTAGAATACATTGGACAGCCAAAAAAAGCAACCAAGAGGTTTTGAAAGAGGCGGGTGCCCGAAGACAGCTTTTCACAGACATCAGAAGGAGACAGTCATCATTTTTCGGCCATGTTATGAGAAGAGGTAAAGCCGAACAGGTTGTGACCACCGGAAAGATCTGTGGGAGGAGGGATAGAGGAAGACAGCGAGAAAAGATTCTTGACAGTCTTGTTGCATGGCATGGAGGTTTGTCAGTACAAACGAAGGCTAGTTACCGTATAGGTCTCGGAGGTTGATTTGCTACTAAAAATCTCACTTTATCTGCCCGTATTCGTCTCCTAACCTTATTATTGGCTTTTGTGTATGTTTTCTGAGCTCCATCTATGAAAGCTCTAGCTTTGGCAGCTCTAGTTTTGGCAGCTCTAGCTTTGACAGCTTTAGGTTTGGCAGTTCTAACTTTGGCAGCTCTAGCTTTAGCAGTTCTAACTTTGGCAGCTCTATCTTTGGCAGCTCTAGCCTTGTCAGCTTTAGTTTTGGCAGCTCTAGCTTTAGCAGTTCTAACTTTGGCAGCTCTATCTTTGGCAGCTCTAGCCTTGTCAGCTTTAGTTTTGGCAGCTCTAGCTTTAGCAGTTCTAACTTTGGCAGCTCTAGCTTTAGCAGTTCTAACTTTGTCAGCTCTAACTTTGGCAGCTCTAGCTTTGTCAGCTCTAACTTTGGCAGCTCTAGCTTTGTCAGCTCTAACTTTGGCAGCTCTAACTTTGGCAGCTCTAGCTTTGTCAGCTCTAACTTTGGCAGCTCTAACTTTGGCAGCTCTAACTTTGGCAGCTCTAGCTTTGTCAGCTCTAACTTTGGCAGCTCTAGCTTTGTCAGCTCTAGCTTTGTCAGCTCTAGCTTTGGCAGCTCTATCTTTGGCAGCTCTAACTTTGGCAGCTCTAGCTCTGGCAGCTCTAACTTTGGCAGCTCTAACTTTGGCAGCTCTAGCTCTGGCAGCTCTAACTTTGGCAGCTCTAACTTTGGCAGCTCTAGATTTGCTGCAGCTTAGGTCTGAATTTTTTCTTTTATTTTCTTTGATCATTTTGATGGTTTTTGGTTTTATCCATGGTTTATGTTTCCGTTCTTTTGTTAACAAACGTTCTACATTGTCTTCATTCGGTTCATGTAGACGCCAGGTTTGGTTTCACTAACTCCTACTCTATTCATGTCGTCGATTGCTGGAAAATAATTCTGATATTGTGGATCTTTCAGTCGATAAGGGTTTGTATCATTTGGATTACGCCAGCTTTGTCTACCACAATTTGTGGAGATGTGAACTTGAAACATTTATGGGTTAAAAACGATTATAACTTTAGTCAGCTGACACTGAATAGTTTTACTGCTGCCTTCATTAGGTGTACTTTTTTGGGGGTCATGGGGGTGGGGGGGGGGAGGATTTTTTATTTAAGACTGTAATTTCCGAGGTACACATGCAGGATTTGTCTGGTCATTTTTCTGTTTGGTTTTATTCTGTTATTGCAGTCTGGAATTAGAGACGTGATTGTTCCCGTACGGTTGGTATTGTACATTGAACTACTATCTTCTATTGTACTTTATTGTTTTTGTTGTTGCTTTTGTGACTTTGTTATAATACAAAGAGGACAGAAACGATAGATTACACAATTTTTCCTTCGAACCAAAAGAAGTAGAAGAAAATTACATAACGTATGTTTGGCATTTTCCACTGTATCTCGTCAGGTACATACTACAGTAACAATTGATTAAAATGAAGCAAATCAATGAATCTTTTACAAATAAAATACAGAATTCCCAGCACTCAAAAGCGAGATATGTCACGTAAAAACAAAATGTGCAATTCGTTATCTGCGTCTTCCTTGTTGAAATTTACAACAGGGAAAACTGCACGGTTGTTGTTGGTGGAGGTGGTGATGGTGGTGATGGTGATGGTGGTGGTGGTGATGATGGTGGTGATGGTGGTGGTGATGGTGGTGGTGGTGATGATGGTGATGGTGGTGGTGGTGATGGTGGTGATGGTGGTGGTGGTGATGGTGGTGGTGGTAATGGTGGTGATGGTGGTGGTGGTGATGGTGGTGGTGGTGATGGTGGTGATGGTGATGGTGGTGGTGGTGGTGGTGGTATTGGTGGTGTTGGTGATGGTGGTGGTGGTGATGGTGGTGGTGGTGATGATGGTGATGGTGGTGGTGATGGTGGTGATGGTGGTATTGGTGGTGGTGGTGGTGGTGATGGTGGTGGTGGTGATGGTGATGGTGGTGGTGATGGTGGTGATGGTGGTATTGGTGGTGGTGGTGGTGGTGATGGTGGTGGTGGTGATGATGGTGATGGTGGTGGTGGTGATGGTGGTGGTGGTGATGGTGGTGATGGTGGTGGTGGTGATGGTGGTGGTGTTGATGCTAATGTTGCTGTAACTGTTGCAGTTCTGCTGCAGTTGTTCGATTTTCTACCGCTGTTGATGCAATTGCTTTTAATGTTGTTCATAAAAACTACACAGTTGTCTAGATATAAAGCCTAGTGATAAATTTAGGCATAAACCAACTAAATTACAACTAAGGGCTTCATAATCTCCAGGGGCCTTCGCAAATTCTTGTTTTTTTTTTCACTTTTAATAAAGCATTTAGGAGAATTATTTAACATAATCTATGTGATTTTGCAAACACATTCTTCATTATTTCTTAAAGTAAAACAGATAAGTATATTAACAGGGAAGAAGAGATGTAACGTTAGTGGATGTTAAAAATCGAAAGAAGGCGAAACAATTATGGGAACCAAGTGACATAATTAGAAGAGGGACAGAGTACTTGGGGAATCTGTAGAATAGACCTCAAGTAAATTTGCAGGACACCCGTCAAGGGCCACCAGTACTGGCATCACATGAAGAAAGGAAGGATGTTTACAGCAGAACACCTGGGAGGTAAGCGAGGGGGAGATCAAGAAAAGTGTGAATAAGACCAGGTCTGGATTATATTGACAGACATAGAATGAAATGGTTCGACCATCTACTGAGAATGCAGCCAGGCCAAACTGCAAATGAGACCTTTTTTACAGCAGAAAATCTGGAAGGAGGGCGATCAAGAAAGATGTGGATAAATTGGGTAGTGCTCATTCCTTACGTCCTTCTTAGGACGCAATTTTTTGGTATTTGAAGTCACACTCTGGCTTTTGCCAGGGGCCGCAATATAGGCAGGCCATCAATATGGCCATTTGTCTGAACGCGGTTTCTTGGACCTCTCCATGGTGATCCTCATCCGCATGGTGGCACTTTGTGTCATCGGGTGTTTATCGCTTGTGTGATGTCCTGGTGGGGTAGAACGTCAGTCAGTCAGTTAAATTGGATAGCTGAAACCTGCAAAACATTTAACAAAGGCACTCGAGAATACCGAAAACCAGGACACTAAACTACAACTTGGGATCAGTGAGACGATAAAACTACGACACTCTTTTTTGTGCTTGATTGTATGTGGATCTAACTCTGAATAAATACACCTACATCAAAATCAATCCTGCTAAATATGCAAGGCAAAACATAGTACAATGTATTGTGTCCGCATTATTTAACAAAACAATCACCACTTTTTCTACATAGCAACAAGTCAAGCTTTGAAGGAAAGACAAAGACATGAGTGATCCCATCTACAAGACAGTGCCACAGGAACTACCGGTCGGGGACAAACAGCAGCAGTCAACCGGAGGCAAGCAGCAGGATGAAGGGGATACACGATGTGGGTTCTGGATCTACAGGCCAGCCTACATGCAACCTCTGGCAAGAATAGGGGTCTTTGCGGCTTTCTACAGCTTGGCCAATATGTTGACCAATACATTGACTTTTTATGTGAATTCGCAGGTATGAGGTGGTCGTGTGTGAATTCACAGGTATGAGGTGGTCGTGTGTGAATTTATAGGTGGATGATGATATGTAAGAGGAGCGGCTGGCCCAACGGTTAGTACTCTGGGCTCCCAAGCGAAGACCCAAGTTCGAATTCTCTGTAAGGTTGGGGATTTTTTCTGTCGGGGAAAAAAATAAAATCCTCATCTGCACAGTCGTGGCGACAGCACTAGCCATGCAGCCGTAAATCCTCAGGCTGAAAGACCCGCCAATCTACACCGCAAATGTGGTTAAATTAAAGACAGTAATTGCATTTGTGTGTGTGTGATGTGTGAATTATCAGGTAGGTGGTATTATGTGAATTATCAGGTAGGTAGAGTTATGTGAATTATCAGGTAGGTGGTATTATGTGAATTATCAGGTTGGTAGTATTATGTGAATTATCAGGTAGGTGGTATTATGTGAATTATCAGGTTGGTAGTATTATGTGAATTATCAGGTTGGTAGTATTATGTGAATTATCAGGTAGGTGGTGTTATGTGAATTATCAGGTAGGTAGAGTTGTGTGAATTATCAGGTAAGTAGAGCTATGTGAATTATCAGGTAGGTAGAGTTATGTGAATTATCTGGTAGGTGGTGACACATGAAATATCGATAGGTTGTGCTGTGTGAATTCTTAGGTAGGGTTGATAGATTATGTTCTTTATGTTCTCTGGGGAACGTTGGTAAGAGATGCCAAAGGTGTCGTGGTATGAAAAAGAGTGCGAAGGATGGAAAATATAGAGTAAGTAAATGAACGAGAACCTGTTGTGAAGCATAACCGCAACACTGATGATGATGATGATGATGATGATGATGACAATTATGATAATGATGATGATGGTGATCATGATGATGATGATGATAATGATAATAATGATGGTGATTATGATGATGATGATAATGATGATGATGGGGATCATGATGGTGATGATAATGATGATAATGATGATGATGGAAATCATGATGATGATGATGATAATGATGATGATAATGATGATAATGATGATGATGGTGATTATGATGATGATGATAATGATGATGATGGTGATTATGATGATGATGATGATGATAATGATGATGATAGAGATAATGATGATGATAGAGATCATGATGATGATGATGATGATAATGATGATGATAATGATGATAATGATGATGATGGTGATTATGATGATGATGATAATGATGATGATGGTGATTATGATGATGATGATGATAATGATGATGATGGTGATGGTGATAATGATGATAATGATGATGATGATGATAATGATGATGATAATGATGATGATGGTGATCATGATGATGATGATGATGATGACGATGATGATGATAATGATGATGATGGTGATGATGATGATGATGATGATGATGATGATGATGATGATGATGATGATGATGATAATGATGTTGATTATGATTATGATGATGGTGATGATGATGATGATGATAATGATGATGATAATGATGATGATAATGATGATGATAACAATAATGATGATAATGATGATGATGGTGATTATGATGATAATGATGGTGATTATGAGGATGATGATGGTGATGATGATGATGATATTGACGATAATGATGATGATGGTGATTATGATAATGATGATGATGATGATAATGATGATGATGATGATGATAATGATGATGATGGTGATTATGATGATGATGGTGATATTGATGGTGATTATGATTATGATGATGGTGATGATGATGATGATGATAATGATGATATTGATGATAATGATGTTGATGACGACGACAACGATAATGACAGTCTTATTCGTCTTAGCTTTCAAAAGCCATAAACAACATGGAGAGATTTTGGCTGTTCCTCGACTTTCGTCTTGTTTCAGAACTTGAGTTTTAAGTACATATCCGATTTACAGTTGAGCATATTTGTATGCAGACCTCTCAGACTTCGACGAAAACACTAGTCGCCTTTTGCGACATGCTTATTGTATGGACAGTGGATCTGTTCTTTTGCGGATCCCGGGACCCACACGAGCAGAATACGATGGTGATTAAACTGTCAAAAGATATTTATCTGTATGTTTAAGTTGTTGTCTATATGCTTATAGATCACAACACTGGAGCGACAGTTTGGCTTTAGTTCACACCAAACTGGCATCATTATGGCCGCCAACGACGTCGGGTTCCTGGTCTTCGTGCTGTTTGCAGCCCACCTGGCCACAAGGACGCATATCCCCAGATCGCTAGGTAAGTCATCAGGAAAACGAACACTTGTTACATTAAGAAATAACAAGTTACTGCAGTCAAACCCACCCATGCTCCCCTTAACATCAAGGAAACTAACATTATTACTGCCTGTGACTGATTGATACTTATATAAATTATGAATTGAGCGGGTTTCTCTTTTCTGGATTTTTTATTGTAAATTTAGAATGGCTACACTTCGGGGGTAAACCCCTAAGAAACAAATTTAAGAGCTGGAATGCAAATGCGGTTTAATCAGTGTTCCTGCAACCGCTTGTGCGCCAAACTGTACTCTGGTAACCTCGTCGCGAATTTAATTCGTTCCTGACTGTGGTTCGTATCTAGAAAAGTTCGTATCTTGAGAAGTTCGAATCTCGAAATCCCAATTTCTCATTACATCTCACGGGATAATCGATTTTTTTATTCTCAGATTTGATGCCCCAGAAATCAAATACTAAAAAAATCACTACCTTATACATAACTTTAAGAACTTCAAATAAACCTCGCTAGGGAAACAAGTGCACTAAGAACATGGTAAACTAGACACCCCTAAAAATTTTGTTTTCATTGGCCATTTCTATCGTACAACTTGAAATCCACAACTTTGGAATACAGACAGAATTCATCTCAAACCATTATGATGGCACCATAGGTTACAGAAATTTATATTAACCATTAACCTTGATCTAGAGTGGCATAGCACCCCCCCCCCCCCCACACCAACTCTTATTTTCTCGATCCTCTTATCCTTGACTTAGAGTGGCACCCCCCCCCCCCCGCCCCTTCCTCTTTTCTCGCTCCTCTTAACTTTTAACTTGCCTGGCATAGCCAAATAACACCCCCCCTCTCCCTAGGGCCCCCTGTATTCCCCTTAACCCCTCCGTTGCCGCGCTTGCACCATGAGACTGCTTGCACCATCATTGTAAAGAAAGATCGACACTTAGTTAGTAGATGTGTAGGCATGTAGGAGTGCATGTAGATAAGTAGATTGATAGGTATACAAAAATTGATTGCAATATAGGTATAGATATCAAATATGATAGATGAGGTGACTAAAATGTAGGTAGACGGTCTAGGGATTTTTTTCAACAGACTCATGGAAGAGAAAGAAAAAGGAGAGGAAATTGCCAAGTAGAAAAACAAATAAGTATAGGACGACCAAGAATAAGGATTGATGGAGTCACTGACACCTTGACACTCCACAACATCACAGCATGCCGGGCAACCAGCGTGCCCTAGCTCGGAAACCGATCATCTGATAACCTGTAACGCCTAATGGCACAAAGAAGAAATAGACACAAGAACAAAGAAGAGTTGACGACGCCCAAAAAGAAAATGTGGACAACATGTATATAATACTACATTATTCTAAATGTAACAGCAGACGTTAAAACATTGCAGTTTTTTGTTTTTATTTACATATACCTGCAGCAATTACAACAATTGTGTTCGGCATTTCCGGCATATTCTGTTCCCTCCCACACTTCCTGTTTGGAGCATCCGTCAACAAAGATCCAACAACAGACAACAGTACAGAATCCAACTTCAGCAAACAGTCGGCTGTTGCAGGCAGTTTTTGTGACATCTTCAACATCAGCGGGGATCCTTGTGGGATTAATACAGGTAGGGGCTTCTAACCTCTCCATAGGTAGGTTAGGTTAGTTGCGTATCCTTTACAGGACGTTGCAGAACCAACCCCATGTGTAGTTTTTTCTAGGCAAATTTACGTCCAGTAGTTTGCCATACCTCTCCATAGGGAAGTGGTAAAATTGTCTCTCTGATCTCTGAACGATGAAGAGAATACGTGAGTGAGTGGGTGAATGGGTGGATGCCTGAATGAGTAACTGGCTAAATATCTGAGTGACTGATTCAGTGGAAGAGAGAAAGAAGAGGTGCAGTGGAAAGAGTAAGAAGGGACAGAGTGTTAAAAAGAAAAAAAAATGAGGATAGAAAATACAGAAAGGAGGGAAAGGATACTGCAAGTGAGAGGGAAGCGAATGAGAAATTGTGGAAGAGAATGGGGAATCGACAGGGAAAGTTAAAGGCAGGTAAACAGTAAGAGAGAGACGAGAATAGGGAATGTGAGAGGAGAGAGATACAGAGTGGGACATAATAAAAATGTGAGAGAATGAAAGACAGAAGCAGAGAGAGGGAGATTAAGTTCCACATGATCTAGTCAGCAGTTTCACTCTAATGTCCAGCCCAGAACACAGCCGGCCAGAAAGACCAGACAACCTCGGAGAAAGTCTCTGAGATCTCTTTTGTCATCATCGTCCTCGGCATGACCCTCCAGGGATTTGGCAAGGCACCTAGATTGAGCTACTCTCTTCTGTATTTGGATGACAACACCAAGAAAGTCAACACCGGCTTCTACGCAGGTTAGTGTTCTATCAGTTGTCAATGCAGACTTTATTCGACCTTTAGATTATTGCTAGCAGTACATGCAACGCTTAGCGGCGTCCGTGACAGAGGCGTTGCGAGTCTGACTTGTAATCCAACGTACCGCGATCGAAACCCACTGCTGGCTGCGTGGATTTTTATCGTGGTATGGGACGTCACAGGTCGACCCAGCCTCAAATAGGTAACAGGCTGGTTGTCCTGGGGAAGTAAAGACGGCCGGCGTAATGCTGACCACATTACCAACCGAGTGCCGATTGGTCTGTAAAAATTTGGGTGCTCTTGCCATATGCCCGATGCGCCGAAAGGTGTGATAAGGGATCTTTACTTTATTTACCTGCCAGGCTTTACTGTGGAAACGGAAGAAACAAGAAAGTGTACCTCTCTAACGTGGTTAATATCACAATGATTCTCTGTGCAGATATAGAGATTGACTGGATCGCAGACTCTAGAAAACGCAACGTGAACATCTGTCCTGACATCCTCTCACTCTACTGTCCAGACATCCTCTCACTCTACTGTCATGACATCCTCTCACTCTACTGTCCTGACATCCTCTCACTCTACTGTCCTGACATCCTCTCACTCTACTGTCATGACATCCTCTCACTCTACTGTCATGACATCCTCTCACTCTACTGTCCAGACATCCTCTCACTCTACTGTCATGACATCCTCTCACTCTACTGTCATGACATCCTCTCACTCTACTGTCATGACATCCTCTCACTCTACTGTCATGACATCCTCTCACTCTACTGTCATGACATCCTCTCACTCTACTGTCCTGACATCCTCTCACTCTACTGTCCAGACATCCTCTCACTCTACTGTTATGACATCCTCTCACTCTACTGTCATGACATCCTCTCACTCTACTGTCATGACATCCTCTCACTCTACTGTCATGACATCCTCTCACTCTACTGTCCCAACATCCTCTCACTCTACTGTCCCAACATCCTCTCACTCTACTGTCCCAACATTCTCTCACTCTACTGTCCCGACATCCTCTCACTCTACTGTCCCATCATCCTCTCACTCTACTGTCCCAACATTCTCTCACTCTACTGTCCCAACATCCTCTCACTCTACTGTCCCAACATCCTCTCACTCTACTGTCCTGACATTCCCTGCAGGCATCATGTCGGCAGCTGCTGTCCTGGGTCCAGTGGCAGCCTTTCTCCTGGGTGGAGTCTTCAGCCGGATGTACGTCACACTGGAAGGTCAGTGTTCTTGTATCGTTCATCAGCAACCAGGCACGTCACCACGAAGAAATTTTGAGGGGTTCAAGACCCTCAAGTCTTGTTTAACTGCGCAATTATAATAATAATAGGTATTGTTATATTAAATAATATGTGTAAGAATATATATGTAGACCTAAGAGCACTTGCAGGGTGATCTGCTTGATAGCGAGGTACCAACAGGCTGCATACAATAAGGTACCGATGTAAGACGAATGTGCACACAAAACTCTAGTTATGTATCATGACCAAAGTCCATAAATGGACGTACAACCATGACTTTTAAGTGCAGTTTGCAGCAGGTGAACGCGAAAAATAAGAAGAAAAACAACAGGATTGAGAGTGTCGGTCACAGAGATGAATTGATGCGGGTACATCTGCAGCATTTAACCTCGAAGGTTTGGAATGCAAAAGAAGAAAAAGAATGAAGAAGAAGAAATGTTATAATGAGTCAGCTTTATTTGTGTATACCTTCTGTTGCCAGCCACTCAGTTAACGCCACGTCATCCTAGTTGGATTGGAGCATGGTGGTTGGGGTTTGTCGTCTTTGGTCTCCTGGCTGTAATTGCCGCCATCCCACTCTTCTGTTTCCCGCGAAAACTGCCCAGAAACAAGGTCAAGGACGCTCCGCTCACCCAAAAAACACCAGCTGGGTAGGTAGAGTGTTGTTGTTGCTGCTGCTGCTAATATTATTCAGTGCTGGATCTGTCCGAAATAAACTCGTCTCTCACCAGCTCTTTCATATTCAAGGAGTCACTTATATCTTCGTGTTGGTGGGTTCCTGCCCTCCCTTGCTGGTACTATGCCTTCTGCTGTTATTATTTTTTTAAATCCGCAATAGGTATTGTGAGACAATGCACTCCTGCCTCACTTCCTTTGTACACAGAACCAGTCCGATATTTCACCAGCTGCTCTCATGGCTGCTTGTTGTTCGTGATATAAATTTTCAATTAAATACACCAGATGTACTGGAAACCCCATACTTCTCATTACTCTAAAATATCTGATGTTGAACACAATCAAATATGTTGCTATAATATATGTGGTTATACCAGTAAAAGTAAAGCAAACCAAGTATTGGGACAGCTAGCCCCCCTCTTACAGCATAAGACAATCCCAATCAGCACAAAGAGACATCTTATTCAATGCATATTTATTCCAACTCTGTGCTACTAGTGCCAGACATGGTCACTCACAACAAACCATAAAAGAAAATTATTAACCATGGAAATGAGATGTCTGAGAAGGGCTGTAGGAGTGACCATAAGAGATAAGGTCAGGAATGAGATCATAAGAGAAAAAGTCGGCACAGAACCAATTCTAAATTACATACAAAGACAGCAAGTGAAATGGTTTGCCCACTTAGAGAGAATGCCTTGTGACACCATACCATACAAAGCATACATGGAAAGAGAAGAAGGGCGTAGAGCTAGAGGTAGACCAAGAACAAGATGGAAGGATGAGCACGCCAAAGGACATGACTCCATATCCCTGTCTAGACTGATGGATATGTGGGTATAGCCTGGATCTGCAATAAATGAACATTTCACTGAGGAGAAAAGACGTTTCATTAACCAACACAGAACAGGCGTCATCAGTCGTTTTACACTTGTGGAGGTTTTAAGGAGGAGGAGATCGGAGCACCTATGGATCTGTCCGGAGTACTGTGATGATAATTCTCTCTAATCACTAATCATTAATCTGACCAACTCTTACCACAGGACCACCTCGGCTTGCCGAGTGGTAATCACTAGATTACAATTTATTTTCACAACCATTGATTCTTTTCTCTTATGTTTATATTCTACAGAAATGATGTCCTAACACAAGTGGCTTTTTCCCGAAATTCCGGAAAACAGTTCCACGAAGACAGAGTCGTGGCTTGCTCCACAACACCCAGCAATAAACAGTTTAGGTTCAAATCCTTGATCAAGCATGGCAGAGGTACCTGTTCAGACATATTTTTATCTGAAGATGCTTTTAATTGATCTTTATAATGTCTGCTCGGAGAGTGTATGGGTGATTTAGTGTTCCGGTGTCTTTTATTTGTAGATAGTGTGATAGTGATCAAGTGATCATGGGATTGTTTGCTGCAGTAATGGCTGTAATAATAGAGTGGTAGCATCAGCAACAGTAATAGTAGCAGTAGAAATATTACAGGAAGCTGTATTCATTGTTGTCGATGTAGTAGTAGTTGTAGTAGCAGCAGCAGCCGCCGCAGTAGTAGTAGTAGCATTAGCAGCAACAACAGTAGTAGCAGTAGTGTTTGTTGTTGATGTTATTGTTCTTGTTGTTGTTATTGTATTTGTAGTAGTAGTAGTAGCAGCAGCAGCAGCAGCAGCAGCAGCAGTAGTAGTAGTAGTAGAAGTAGTAGTAGCAGCAGCAGCAGCAGTAGCAGCAGTAGCAGCAGCAGTTGTTCTTTTTGTTGTTCTTTTCCTTGCTGTTGTAGTATCAGTAGCAGCTTTTCTTGTGATGGTGGTGGTTGGGGCTGGTTAAGTCAGTATGGTTATGATGACTATTATTGTAATGTTACCCTTTACTTGTGTGTTCCCAGTTTGAATGCTATAGAAGACCGTTGTGCTATCTCCCCAGAATTTGTGGCGTCCCTATCGAGGCTTGCGGTCAACCCTGTCTACGGATGTTTGGTTGTCTCCTCCTGTTTCCACATTTTCATGGCTGCCGGAAGTACGGCATTTTACCCGAAGTACCTAGAGAGGGTATTTCATCTTGGGATTCATACAGCCAATTACATCACAGGTGGGACTCTAGCGTACAAGTATTGAATAGTCTAGCTGGTAGAATGTTTTTATTATGATTACTATTTTTCTTTTCATTGGTATTCCACTTCGTCTTCCTTTTCGTTTTCCTCTTCTTCATCCTCTTCCTCTTCGTCTTCCTCTTCCTCCTCCTCCTCTTCTTCTTGTGCTCCTTCTGCTGCTGCTGGGGCTACTGCTTCTTTTTCTTCTTCTTCTTCTTCTTCTTCTTCTTCTTCTTCTTCTTCTTCTTCTTCTTCTTCTTCTTCTTCTTCTTCTTCTTCTTCTTCTTCTTCTTCTTCTTCTTCTTCTTCTTCTTTTTTCTTCTTCTTCTTCTTCTTATTATTATTATTATTATTATTATTATTATTATTATTATTGTACTTCTGCTGCTGCTGCTTCTTCTTCTTTTTCTTCTTCTTCTTCTTCTTCTTCTTCTTCTTCTTCTTCTTCTTCTTCTTCTTCTTCTTCTTCTTCTTCTTCTTCTTCTTCTTCTTCTTCTTCTTCTTCTTCTTCTTCTTCTTCTTCTTCTTCTTCCTTCTTCTTCTTCTTCTTCTTCTTCTTCTTCTTCTTCTTTTCTTCTTCTTCTTCTTCTTCGTCTTCTTCTTTCTTCTTCTTCTTCTTCTTCTTCTTCTTCTTCTTCTTCTTCTTCTTCTTCTTCTTCTTCTTCTTCTTCTTCTTCTTTCTTCTTCTTCTTTCTTCTTCTTCTTCTTCTTACTTCTTCTTCTTCTTCTTCTTCTTCTTCTTCTTCTTCTTCTTCTTCTTCTTCTTTCTTCTTCTTCTTCTTCTTCTTCTTCTTCTTCTTCTTCTTCTTCTTCTTCTCCTTCTTCTTCTTCTTCTTCTTCTTCTTCTTCTTCTTCTTCTTCGTCTCTTCTTCTTCTTCTTCTTCTTCTTCTTCTTCTTTCTTCTTCTTCTTCTTCTTCTTCTTCTTCTTCTTCTTCTTCTTCTTCTTCTTCTTCTTCTTCTTCTTCTCTTCTTCTTCTTTCTTCTTCTTCTTCTTCTTCTTCTTCTTCTTCTTCTTCTTCTTCTTCTTCTTCTGCTTCTTCTTCCTTTTCTTATTCTTTTTTTTTCACGATTCGTTGTTGTATACCTGTACATATTATTGTTGACTTTCAGCCGGGACTTATATGTGTACATCGTTTTCTGGAATTCTTGCTGGTGGCATTTTGAGCAGACGATACAAGATGACAGCCATGACCAGCCTCAAGTTTTGCTGCGTCATGACCTCACTGTCTGTGGTCTTTCAACTCATGACCCTCATCTTTCGGTGTGACCACCCTACCGTTCACATCGGGCCAGGGTGAGCTAATATTGTAATGGCTAGTTGTCAATCAGTCACTCAATCAGTCAGCCAGTCGGTCAGTCAGATAGCTAGTTATTTAGTCAGTCCGTTTATTCGTTATTTACTGTCATTCAGCTAGCAAATCAATCAGTCAGCCAGTCAATCAGTCAGCCAGTCAATCTGTCAGTAAGTCAATCAGTCAGCCAGTCAGTTAGTTATTTAGTTAGTTAGCTAGTTTGATACCTGACTGGTTAGATAGCTGTTTAGTTAGGAGTTTTTTAGTTAGTTCCTTAGCTAGTTAGTTAGTTAGTTAGTCAGACAGCTAGGTAGTTGGTTAGCTAGCTAGTTAGTTAGCTAGTTAGTTAGTTAGTTAGTCAGTTAGTCAGTCAGTCAGAGAGTCAGTCAGTCAGTCAGTCAGTCAGTCAGTCAGTCAGCCAGTTAGTTAGTTAGTTAGTTAGTCAGTAAGTCAGTCAGTCAGTCAGTCAGTCAGTCAGATAGTCAGTCAGTCAGTCAGTCAGTCAGTGATTCAGTCAGTCAGTCAGTCAGTCAGTCAGTCAGTCAGTTAGTTAGTTAGCTAG